AAGAAGCTGAGAGGAGAGCGCGTGGCTGTCGGCTCCAGTACCAACGTGCAGGGGTCCGTTTCCTCACCCATTTTGTGGCTCACCCTCTAGATGGTGGACGTCACCTGACCTACATGCCAAGCTCTGATTGGCTGCTGGATGTCTCGCATCTGGTGCGGAAGCATGCTAGAATCCAAGACCCTCGAGTAGCAACGCTGGAAGGTGGGAGTGTGGTGGTTGGCCGTGAAGTAGGAATGACCTCTGTGGAGGTAAGGGCATGTGAGAAAAAAAAATGGGGGCTGAATAGTTCCTTGCTGAGATGGAGTGGGATGAGAAACTTGCTTGAAGGGTAATGATAGCTTGTTGCAGAGGGATGGGCTAGATGCTGTGCACATGCTCTGGATGTTACTTTTGTCTCTGGTTTGGGGAAAAGGTGGGATGGGTAAACTTTTAGAAACAAGGAGCCATGGTTAGTACAGAAGGAAATAGTAGATGATGGCCTGGTGTAAAAATGATGAGGTTGGCATAAGTGGGGGTAAATTCCAAGATAGAATGAAAAATTATATGGTGGATGTGGATATGAAGAAAGAGACTATGAAGAAAAAGAGGTTTGACAACCTTACAGGTAAGGGGAACTCACCTTCCCTATTTGGTCACTTGGCCGGCAAATTAACCATGCAATTAACCATGACCTGAAGTTGGGATGGATGAGAAGAGGCATCAAGTAAGATGGGTACAGGTTCTGTGGAAAGTCTCCTTATGAGAACAATTGTATATTCTCTATTCTTGTTCAGGTGCGTTCTCCTGTTTCTGATTCTATCTTGGGGGAACAGACTCTGGTGGTATCAGAAGAAAAGGTCTTGGTCTCAGAGCTGCAAGCCCAGCTGGTATCAGGTCTATCATTGACACTCTCTGCAGAACCAGGACATCTGAATGTTTTCACTGCGACGTGCCAGGGACTTTCTGCTTTGCATTCCCTGAAGCAGGTGAGAAGTTCCTCTAACAGTTCATACCCTAATGAATTTAATTTTTCATCCTTCTGGATTACAGAAGCACTAAATTGCATGTTGAGGGTGCAGCCTTCTCCTTCCGTGGTTCACTTCAGCTAAAGCTAGACATGATAGGAAATGGCATATTGCGGTTATCCTCAAATATAGAATCCTTGTGTCTTGTCCTCTCCATTTTGCAAAATCTGTTTCTATGCTTGGATGGCATGACATGGGATCACTGTACAGTGAGTTTTCCTGCCAGGATGTGTAGTATTCTAAGAAGAGGGGTAGACATTTGGTAATGTGGAAACTGCTGCATTGAGTTGGGTGACATGATTTAAATCTGCTACCATAATGGACTATGATGCCTCTGTCTGTCAACTCACTGAACCCAGCATTATCATTTGAAGCCAACTTGAGTTCCTAAACTCATGGATTCCATACTGCTGAGGATTCTGGGAACTGATATCCCAACCCAGTCAAAGGATACCACATTGGAGGAAGTGGCTTTAGCTCACATTAATCTCTGTATGTGTAAATCTCAACCTCTTAGTTGCATGATTCTCTTTCCTCAGATTCCAATTTTCTTTCTTTTTTTCTGCAGGAAGCAGTTCTGAGCATTTGGTTGGTATTCAGTGATCACACCTTGGCTCCAGTAGAGCTTTATGGTTGGCGGGATGCATCTCTCTTGCTTTCTTCTTTGAATCCTGATGTGGTTTCTGTGCGGCTGGAAGAGGAGCACTCTTACCCAGTGATCATTGCTGAAGGTCCAGGCCAGGGGTCCCTCCTGCAGCTCAGCCTACATTCCCCAGACTCTTGCCGCAAGGGGAAACATAGGGCTCCCCTTTCCCAGGGGACAGCATGGCTGGAAGTGAACTTTGGCTGGAACCTTCTGACCACTAAGAGCCCACAGCAAGAAGATCTCCATCTACATGGTAAGGCCCCCTTTCAGCGAGCAGAAGGTATCACATCAGGTGAAGCAGTGACTGTTGCAGCTATCACAGAGAGTGGAAGAGGTTCAAGGAGGCATGGCCCTGTAGCACTAGGGCCACCGATGACCAAATTTGAGGGGGCTGGTGCTAGCTCCTATGAGGATATTGAACAAGTGGAGGAAGTGGAGGAAGATGAGATGGTGAAGGCACCTGCAATGGTGACAGATCTAGAGATTGGCATGTATGTACTCCTGGGAGTTTTCTGTCTTGCCATCTTTATCTTCCTCATCAACTGTGTGGCCTTTGTCCTTCGTTACCAGCACAAGGAACCTCCTGATGCTGGATCCGCTCCAGTTTCTTCTGCCCAGCAGCCTCACAATTGGATCTGGCTAGGCACTGACCAGGAGGAGATTAATCAGCAGCTGGATCTGTGCAAGCAGCACTGCAAAGACCAGCCTCAGGGCCCTTCTAGCGCCAATGATGAGTACGCTTGCTGTGCAGGGCCAGAAGGAACTTTGGAAGCTGTGGCCCCAGAGGGCCCAGCCCCATTACCAGAGCCAGAAACAGGGGTCTCTGCTAGTAATTTGGGCCTGACTGCCCCAGGGAACCCAGCTCTTACCACTACCTTGTCCAGGAAGAAAGAGGGCAGGGAGGTGGGTGGTCGGAGGAAGCGTGTAGAATTTGTGACCTTTGCTTCACCATCCAGCTCTACTCCCAGCCCCCCTGCTTCTGGACCAGTTGTTCAGTCCATCCTGGTGGCCAGTGAAGATGACATTCGTTGGGTGTGTGAGGACATGGGGCTGCGTGATCCAGATGAGCTGCGCAGCTACATGGAAAGGATCCGGGGTAGCTCCTGATCTCCCCTACCCCATCTGTATGGGCAAACCAATAAGATGGTCACCCCCTTAGGTGCTCTCTTAGGATCATTCAGCTGAGCTTTCTACCTGCTCCTTTTTAATGGGGGCTCTCCACAACAGGACACCAGCCTTGGACTAGTTTGTGAGGGGAAAACGGGCCAGAGATATTTCTGCTGCTCTCTATGTTAGAGATCCACTTCCTTGGCTATCCTATCGTTTTCATTCTGGTTAGAGACATTCTCTCCTCCGTTTATTCTCTCAGCAGAACTAGCACATTCCTCCTGGGAAGAGAGCCCACGTGTCCCCATTGCGTCTCCCTCCACCCCCTAAAATAATTCTTATTAGGTGTGGATGAGGGGTTTGCAGACCAGAAATTAGCTGCAGGTGAGTGGTAAGCTGGCTGTGATGTGCTGTGGAGGTGATCTAGGGGGGCTGGTCCAAAACCTCACATATTGCTTTGACCCTCATTGCCAGTGTGTGTCCATTGTGATGGTTTGAGCAACAAGTGTCTTTCCGTCCTTCCTGTGGTCTGAGCCTGGGGCTCTGCCCCCACCCCAGTCCCCTGATCCCTCCCCTAAAGCTGGGCAAGGACAGAGCTCCAGGGAGCACTGGCTGGGCCTTTCCCACCCTGGTTGTGTGCCTGATGTCCTTAAGAGTTTTGTACAATCGCTCATATTTTATACCGTACTATTGGGAGGCTGCCAGGCAAGTCCTTTATTTATGGAAGATTTTTAATTCTTACATTGTTAAAAAAAAAAGTAAAATAAATAATAACTAAAAACAAGAGGTGTGTCATTTTTGTGCAGTCTGGTTTATTTGTGTTTCCTTGGTAATAGAGAGTAGTCCTCTCTGATGCAGGGATTAAATCCAAACAACCAACAATTCCTTTCACTTTGACTGTTTGTGGACTTGATCCAAGCCTAGGGCCAGTGTGGCATCGCTGTTGCGGCTCAGGAGATCCTCTGTATAGCTTTGGGCATGGTTCCTGTGTAGGTATTTGAAAGTATAAATAGTATAATATCAGTCCCTGTCAAAGAACTCTCTATCTGCTAAAAAAACTTTGCAACTAGGAAGTAGCTCATAGGAAAACTAAAGATCAGCACACAAAAGGATTTATGGCATGTACTAACAGGTATTGCTAGGTGTATTGTCTAGGTATTCATTAAACAAGAGTGCTCAGTAAAATTGTGGGCCACAACATAGTGGGTGATGTAGGTGGCTCGTAAATCATGTGGCTGCTGTATGCGTGGTTGCTGCTTCCCTAGGTTTACTAGCAGTGGCACCAGGTTCATTTCTCCTTCAGCTGCAGTGATGACTTCCAGCTTCACCATCCAGTCTTTGTACTTTTCTAATTTGCATAGGCAAGAGAGCTTTTGGAAATGATGCTTTTCACATCCTTCCATGTTGTATCTGCTAGAATGTTTCTCTTCTATGCAGCAATTCCTAAACTTCCTTAATTCTAAAAATTGTCAGCTCTGTGCAAACCTCCCCCAGCTGCTTTAACCAACTTTCTTCTTCCAATGTCTCCTCAAATAAAGCAGTAAATTACAGATCCACTAATTATAATTTTTTTCAGATTAAATTTCATGCTATCATGAACCCTTACTTCTCATCAATCCTATAATCCTGGTTATATCTAGGATTATACAGGCATAGGGAGTATAGAGGATGGTCTTGAAGGACAGAGGGAAAATCCATTACCAAGGCAACGATCAGATAAACATGGTTTGAGCCCAGGCTAAGAAAGTGGTTTATAAAAGCACCTCAGACAGGCCTCCCCCCCCTCTATTCACATAAAGATAAAAGAGGATAGAAGGGAGACACACACAGACTTGCAAGATTCTGTTACTACAGCTATTCTAATAAAAGTAGGTTTAGGCCCATACAATAGCTGTTTTTTAGTTTGGTCCACCTTAAATTCTATAGAGAGTTAACAGCAATTTGAGTTTTAGAAATTCAAGAGCAAATTGAATGCTTGGAAAGGTGGATCAGAAATAAGCAAGCCCAGTGCAGTGTGTTTGATGTTCCAATACAGATCAAAAAGGCTTGATTTTAATTACTGTATCACTTTGGATCTGCACATGCTGGACATTTTTCACACCAATTACTTGGGAAAAATCTCCTTTTCAATTTTGTCTCTTAGATTTTGCAAGAATACTTGTACTTTCCATTCTTGCCATCCTGAAAGGAATAATGGATTTTATATCAATATCAAACAATTTCCTGAAGTTTTTTTTTTAAGTTCTTTAAGTTTTTGTACATGAATGCAGAAGTGCATTTCTCCAAAATGAAAGCTAGTTGCTATGTGCACGTACGGTCACATAACTGTAACTCCCATTATATATGCCCATATGCATAATATATAATGTGATATTTCTGTACTCTTCACATGTCACATCCAACAATATTTGAGAGCAAAGATTTTCATGCCCACAGATGAAGGACAATGCATTATTTATAGGAAAAAATGCTGCTACTGGTAATGTGCATCGTTAAGACTGTGGTAGGTTGCCGAAAAAGAAAATCTTCTAATACCTTCCTATTACATTAACAAAAGTTAGCTATCAATACATTTATTCCATCACTATGATCCCCATGAAGTCTCCATTTGCAACACTGATCTTTGGCTGGAGAGTATCAGAAGCTTCTGATGATTTTCAGATCTCCCAAGTATGTCTATGTACAGGTATATACAGTATGTATGACTTTCTCCTTTTTCTGAGGATTTAATTTTGCCTTCCCAAAAGATGGTTTAGCTCAAAGGGGATTGTAAGTACTAAGAGGGGCAAGAACACTTCTGGGAATGATCTATTTAATTTACATAGAGTAGTTAATACCCTAGGGTAATCTTAGCTTCAAGCTCCCCATAACTCCATCATTCACATTCAGTTTCTGGAAAATGTAAATAAGAATAAGAACTTTGAATAAGAAGCTGTAGTTCTTAGTATCCTGATTAGCTGCCATTGTTGGTAGTCGTCTGGATTATTTCCTCTAATTTATTAATATAGCTTTCACAACATTTGAATCAGTTAACTCTCTGCAACAGCCATGGCATCGAACAGCGTGCTGAGAACTGGAGAGGAAAGGCGCCTTCTTGCAGTCCTAAAAAGTACTATCAGTTATTCCCTCGGCTGGAGGATCGCTGCTGACGCTCATAGCGGATGGAGACCCAGATAAAGAGGACACATGTTGCTGCCTGAATCCCACCTAGGTGGAAGAAATAATAATCCATCCGACATTTGTTGATGTTTCCTAGGAAACAGAGAGAGCAAGAGAGCCTTTAGTATACAGCAGCAGGAAGATGTCTTCTTGCATTCTGTAGCATTCGCAGGTCTAGGAATCCTCTGTGTACAACAGTCTCTTGACACCACATTTTTGAATAATTTTCTCTAGGTCACCTCCAGTCTGCTTGCCATTACCAACAGACATTCAAGTTTGCTGGAGAACCCCGTGAAAACCCCTTGAACTCTCTTGGCTTCCCCATTGTCCTTAGTGGAAGAACTGCCCTGGGGATATGGCAGATACTCACCAAAATCTTCTGGACAGTGCATCCAACCAGTGGCTGGCAGGGAGAGTAAAGTGAGGAGGCCAGGTCCTAAAGGGGATCCAACTCCAGAAATGAAGAAGAAAAGACCCATGATCACTCCTTGCATGGATCTGGGAGCTTCAGAATAGGCAAACTCCAGCCCTGGGAAAACAGGAAGAATTCATAGGGTTACCAAGCTAGAGGAGCCCATTTCAGTTAGGTTTGAGGGACAGTTCAAGGCTTCTGAAGCCACAGTGAGAACTGTGGCCCTGTGCTCTTTCATCTCTTGGTGCAGTTAAGCTGCACTACCTCCAGATCAGGAAATCCTGGTTTAATGCTGATTTAGGAACGACAGGGAATAAAGCCTTGTTCTCTGGCTTACCTGGAATGCTGGCAAAGATTTCACTGATTCCAATGAGTAAATATTGAGGGATTTGCCACAAGATGGAGATTGGGGCTGCAAAGTATTCATCTTTCCCAATTTGTTGTGTGATTGTGTGATTGTTGTTCACATATTGCAGCCGCTTAGTCTCCAGAAAGCCTAGAGAGGAGAAGAATGCTTGGATCCTGAACAAGATATCGTGAAGGACATACATGATAGCATACTCATAGTTGAGGCAGATTTTTTTTTAAATAGAGAATATGTGGTCATATTTTTGTTATATTGGGTATATAATATTTATTAAGAATATCCTTAACCAACAATAGCATATCCTGTTAAAAAAGGAGCCATACGAAGCACTTCAGTGTCCTGCTTCCCAGTTAAAGCTTTGAATGGTCCTCTTGGTGTTGTTTTGAAAAGTTGTTAGGATTGCTCTGAAAACTGGACACTGAGAAAGTGAAAGAAGACAGGCACTTTCAAACTGTTGCTTTGGAGATGGTTATTAATAGTACCATGGACTGCAATAAGAACAAATTCTGGATCAAATTAAAACTGTGCACTTGCACTGATGATCAGCACATGGAAAGCACTACATACTTTGAGTGTGGGACGTGAGCAAATGAAGGACTAGAAGAAAAGATTATACTTGGCAAGGATGAGGGATGTAGACAATGGATAAGAGAGACTGACGGGGTTCAAGGAGATCATTGGAACATCCTTGGAACAGCTATGGATTGTCATCAGGGAGAGCTTACGATGCCAGGCACTTGTACATTCAATCTCCAGAGAGCAAATGATGGCTTAAATGTTAATTATCAAGATTCTTAATTACTGAGGCACAGACAGCACTATACAAAATAACGGCGTTGTTTCCCTTGAGTCAGGCTCCTATTAACTACTTGATTGACTGATTACATTTTTATACTGCCAGACTTAAAAAAAACTCCTGGCATTTTACATCATAAAAACTTCAAAAAAGACTAAAATCAAGATAAAACAACATCTGCAATAATATGATAAATGTATAATGATGACTATTCTCTCCTCAAAACCCTCCAGAAATGCTTTGTCTTTAATTATTTCTGGAAAGCTAACAATGAAGGAAGTACCCTAATTTCCAGAGGGAGGTTATTCCATAATATGGGACTTGCAACTGTCCATGAGCCCCTGTCTTCACTTCATGTACTTTAAAAGGGACCATTAAAAGATGTGGTAGCGTGGGGTGAGTTGAGCTGGCCACTTCTATGCAGAGAAGGAATCACGTAAGTACCCTGGTGCCAAGCTTTACAAGGCTTTATTGGTCAAAACCAGCACTTTGAGTTGCACCAGGAAAGCTATTGTTAACCAGTGCAGCAACCATAAAACAGGTTTTAGGTGATTACAGCAAATTTGATTCACCAAGACATGGGTTGCTGTATTTTTCAAGGTGTCTTTGACGGCGGCACCATGTAGAGCTGATTGCAGTAATCCAAATGGGGGAGTCAGCAAGTACATGAGTAGCATTTTCACGACAATATAGAAATGATGTGCATTGCCTTCTTTCAGGGTGCAGAAGTGAAGGTGGCCAACATTGCATTTCAGCTGTAAGGAGAAATGGTTTTTTAAACCTTTATTTGCTTTAATATACAAAGGAGGGAGCAAGAAGGTGTAAATGAAAAGAAAAACCACAGGAAAGGGGAAAAGAAGAGGAAATCAAACTTTTTAAAAAATCATGTTTTTTTAGCACTGCATTAAACTTTGACCACATGGAATAATATTAGCCAGTCTTGCCTTTATGTCAATAGAGAGCCAGTTCAGAAAGAGAGAGTGAATGTGTATCACCAATTCAAAATCTTAACTTGGGGGGTAACCAGGGGAAGCTAATAATTAAATTATCCAGGACACTCTCTTGGTTTATTATTTGTATTTCCCTTTTGATTTTTGAAACATCAACTGGTTTCTTTTGTATGTCCAGTGAGACATCCTTTTCCGTGCCATTTCATAGCCTGTCATTTGTAGATACACTTTTGATGCCATCTCTGTCTTGTTAAATAAAACTTGTTCCTCATCTGCCATTTCTTCCATAACAGCTTTTGAACACAGTCTATCCATAGAAGCAAACATCACTATTGACACTGTTGATACTAACTTAGTGGTTAGTACAAACTTATGGACGAAATGCTTACCTGCTAATAGGACCGAGCCAAGGCCAAAGAACATGACTAGAGCCATCCTCCTCAGTGCTGATGGCAGAAGCTTCTTCTTTGCTAGGAATGGGTCTACCACCCAATCCTTCAATGGAATGAGGATCAGCAGAACCACTACATTGGCTAGAAGGAGCCAGGCCCCTGGGAGCTGAAGAGAGAGAAACTGTAAATCCCCCTCCCCCATATAAGCGAGTACAAAACCTATTCTGTGCCCCCCCTCCAACACCTTTAAGGTAGGTTGGCTTGAAAGAGAGCAGCCCAAACTCACTCAATGAGTTTCTATGGACTAGAATCTGGGTCTCCCTGCTCCTAGTCCAACACCTTAACCACTGTTGCCAGTTGAGTTCTTTTCCATTACAGAAAAAGGCTGCTGATTTTCTGGACCTCTAAAGAGTCAATACACCAAACCAAACTGTCATATTGTGTAGATCTATGCAGAGTTTCACAGACACTTCCAATACTTGTGCAACTGCTTATATCTTACAAGTTCTCTCCCACTAACAGCATTAGGAATGGCTACTAGAAGTGATACAAAAAGTGCTAGGGGATGTGGATGGAGTTGTGAATTGAATACCCATCGATGTACCATGACACTGCTTCTTTTAATGCCAGTATCTGCACAGATTCCCTCAACTAGCATCCATTCTCAGTGCTCTTGTTCAGGCTTGTGAAATGCAGATGGAGAACACCTGAAATCATAGTCTACTCCTGATTATCATAGATTGATTATGTACAGTCAAAAAGCTTTTAGCACATTGTTCCCGCTGAAAATGATTTGCAAGAAAAGCAAATGCTTCTCTTGGTTACCATTGCACTTTTGTCCAGACATTTCAACAGATTTCTGTAGAATATTATATGCCTTAGTCATGTCAATCAGCTTTCAGCAAGACCATTCTGTAAACTGGGGCAGTCACATTTCTGTTGGCTGGGGCAGCGAGAAATGTGTGGTGAATGATCCAGCAATTGAAAGGAGCAGTGCTGCATCGCATACGTGCAGTCCCTTCCCCCTCTTTTTTTAGTTTTTTGGGGGGATAGTATTACTTTGGCTGTGGTTAGAGTTCAAGATGTCATGCCACAGATTCTCAGCAATAATGAGCCACCTTTGCCTCAGAGTTCAGTTGAACTGTAGTAGGAGCCTCTTAACCACAAACAAACGTGTTGACCAGCTAGATCTAAATGGATGGTGATGGGAATACAAATTAAAATACGAAGAACAACTATTTTGTTCTCATCCTGAAATAGATCTCTTTGAGAAAAAGTTCAAAATCAACAAAAGTGTCAAAGGTAGTTTTCAAGAATCCTCGCTCTCCTACTTATACACACTCTCCTTTCTCCTGTTTCAGCAATTCCTCTACCACAACCCAACTTGTGGCTTGAAAGAAAATAGAACAGTTTCTCTTCTGTCTGTGGTAACCCAGGCCTATAATCATAACTAACTATGACATATGCAGTTGGTCAGGAGGTTTCCTGCTTACAAAAATAGGGACTGTATTTGGGTTCTTTGAGGAGAATTGAAAGTATCTGTTTCATGCTGCTTCACTCCATAAACAATCACTTTCCTTCCACTCAACAGAGCTATATATTTCTTAACACATCTACATTGGGCAGTGGCCCTTCATGTGAGCTGTTGAACACTTGTAACCTCTCCATCAGGGGGACATTTATTATGATTTGAGAGGGGCCACATTTGTCCCAGTGCCAATGTATTTCTGAATGAAACATTTTTTTTTCTTCCTAGCGTTTTTCCCACAGGTGCAGGGACTGCATTTTTTTTTCTGAATTAACTGAATGTTGATCCATTGGTTACAACGGGAAGTGACTGACCGGCTTGCCACTCGAGCCTGATGTCGTGGGCTGAGAGGGAGTGACCAGCCCAAGGTCACCCAGCTGGATTTCATGCCTAAGGCGGGACTAGAACTCACTGTCTCCTGGTTTCTAGTCTGATGCTTTAACCACTAGACCAATGACACTGTCACAGCCAAACTCCTTCTTAGAACATGAAACAACCCAAACTGATTGGCTGAACTGCCCAATAGCTTACCGTATAGCCAGTATCTATGGCTGTTGAGAATGCACTGTTGTTCATATGACTTTTCTGAAAGATGTTGGGGATGGAGAGATGGAGGCCCTGCAAGTAATAGGTTGACTGCATCTAAAATTCAATAGAAAGGGGTATTATTAAAGAAACATGCATGAAACTTAAAAGTTTGTCTATATAGCTTTCCTGTAGTAAAATAGTGTAGGCTAAACCTGACAGCCCTGAGACATGTTGGATTATGATGGCTGGTGATTATGGGAATTGAAGCTTAATACATTAGAAAGGCACTAAGCTGGGGAAAATTAATAAATTCTTATCTTGTGTCTTCAACAGAAGACCCTATCCACCTTCATGGAATGGTGAGGCTCATTATCTAAGCATGTCACATGGCAATGCTGGTTAAAAGTGTCCTGTAATAGACTCTTTGTAATATCATAACATAGCTAATCAGATATGGCAATTATGATGTAGGATGAGTTGGAAAGTGCAGGCCATCAACTTCCCCCCATCCCCCCAGTCAGTACAGGAATCCAAATGAGAGTATCCCTGACAGATGGCTGTTCATCTGCTTGAACACACCTAGTGAAAGTGAACTCCCACTCTCCCTTTGGTATTTGTTTCATTGCTGAACTGCTGTTTTAGTTAAGAAACTTTTCCTACCATTCATATATATGATTACCAAGCAAGTTGTCTCTCCTCCTATGCATGTTCATTTATTTTTCCTAAATGAAGAACTTCGTATTCAGCCCATTTCTCTAACAAAGCAAGATATTTTGAATTTTGTTTGTCTTCTAGAATAACAATTATCCCGTCCACTTCTTATGTCATCTGTCTAATTGATGTTTTAGAAGACGTAAATGAGAAATTAAATAAACACCTATCTCTCTTCTACCTTACTGTATGTTTTTTAAAAAATTTAATAAGCTTTTTGTGCAACCACATTGGTTGTTCTGCTGCTGTTGCTTTTTTTTTTCTTCAGTTTCTTCATTTTCTTTGTGATGATACTTTTAGTATTTCCATTTTTAGAAACTCCTATTCATTCTAGTTGCCTCTTCGGATGAGTTTCTTCCATCATGGAAACATACTTATGTTTAATAAAATCTGTTCTCTTGAAATCTAAGGTAGGCATTCATTTCTTATTTCTGTTTATCACTCTTGCCTTGGCTTTCTTCTTTCTTTGATCCTCTTCCTTATACAGAATTGTATTCCCCAAAAACTCCTTTCGGTTCTCACTGTTCACTCACTCCTTGTATCACAGCTGCCTTATATTCTCTCTACAATCGCTGCAATAGTCCCTGATTACTCCACAGGAACCAACCAGTCATTCACAATGAGCAGCCAGTAACTTTCAGGACACATCTTTTGCAATCAACAGCTACTCAGGAGATGACCTTTTCAATCGATATGGCTGAGCATACAGTCCGTGTATACGGCTGCTCTGTTACTCTCCTTTCCCTTTCCTGATGAACCCTACTGTCAAAATTTTGGGGAAAGGGGGTTAAGGATAATCCAGTGGATCCCTGTTGTCTTCTTCTTTTCTTACCCATGTATTTTTTTAGAATAATTGTTTCTAAATTTTCTTGGCAATCTAAATTCAGTGCATAACAAGGATTTACAATTCCTTAAAAAAAGGCTATAGAAACATACAGACTTACATGTTTTTGCTTTTTAAGTGCACATTTCATTCAGTTTATTGCAATCATTTATCAACTTTATTGCTGTGTTATAATAGCAAACAGGCATCAGGGGAGAAATAAAAGTGGAAGGCTTTTATTTTTCTCTATCCAATCTTTTTCAACGATTTAGAATGCCTGAAACCTGGCAGGTTAATGCTATTGAGGTGAATCTGGCTACTATTTATTCAGTGGGTTTAATCTGAATTTTGCACGGGCTGAAGCCTAATGGAATCTCCCTTCCTGCTAATAATTGGGCAGAGTTTATCTGGGGAAAAGACCAAGCTATTTTCATGTTGTGCATGATCAGGCTACACAGTGTGGGGATTTTCTCTAAAGACTGAGTAAAATCATGGCTATATAATGGCTATATCAATCAATCAATCAATCAATCAATCAATCAATCAATCCGTCAAAGAACCTGGAGATATGAATGTTGTTTTTCTACACAGAAAAAAATCTGCCCAAATTAGTCTTCCAGGATTCTCCATCCAATTTAATGACACAGATATTAGGTGGATGATTTCTCCAAATTTCTTAAAAGTAAAGAAAAACTATTCAACTATTTATTAGTATAGGACTCCTCTTATTGCTAACAGTACCATTTAATGGAAGCACGGCAATCCTTTCTCCAAACTTCCAGAGGGAGGTTTGAACAATAAAAGAATATTCACACCCATATTTTGGCTGACTATCTTATAACTAACTCCCTAAGTGCAAGAACAACCCGCCACACCTATGAACGTTTCACTGAAATGCTTTTTTTCTTTGAAAGAATTTCTAAAGGAAATGCTCTTTTGTGAAAATGAATGAGGACTGATAGAAAAAAGATGCAGGAGAATTTCTTTTCCTGGTATGAGCTGAAATCCCCTTTTCTACATGTCTGAAAGATTCTGGAGCTCTCTCTTGTCTACAGACAACATTTCAAAGATCAAACTCGAGTTGCCACAAATATGCAATCTACAGAAGGCAGGATTCCCATTTTATATAGAGATCTCAGGCTGCCACCCCAAAATTATGACATGTTTCTCAAGGTTAATTGTCCTTCACCAGAGCACAACTGAAATAGGCAATACAGAGAAACAGATGGCGTGGAAAAAGAGCAGAACGGCTGTAGTCTGGTGATGAAGCACATCTTTTTCATATAATAGATATCAGGTTCAACCTTTGGCATCTCCTGGAAATATGAGGGCAGCTTTTCTGAAACACTGGAGAGATCCTAGCATTAGGACACGGATTTTCCACCTGGCCAGCATTTTCCTTCCCCAAATCCTCAGAACTGTTCCTGCAGCTGCCTCTGAGGGTCTTGGCTCAAACATTGCAGGAATGGGTATAAGCAGCCTGCACTCAATCCCACACTTAAGAAGGGAAAACCAAATTCAGTCCTCAGACAGAGCCTCACTTACCCCACGGCCTGCCCTTGGGCACAGCCAGATGGCCATGCTGAAGCGCAATCCACCACTCCTTGAGCCAGCAGAAAATTATGTTTGGTACAAAATTTGCTTGGAACAATAGATTTAGCTGTTTGCCACCTTACCCAGCTAACCGGCCGCAGCAGGTGTGAAGTGCTCCATACCTATGACCCGGTCAGTCAGACAGCACTTTACATTTTTAGGTATGCATCTGTAATGCTGAAAGTACTTTTTGGGAGAGAAAATGCAGCTGTATATAAATTGTCCACTAAAAAAAAAAAAGAACTTTTAACATTTTTGAAGATGCTACATCTTTTCTGAGGCATCTGAGATTCCTGTGTGACGCAGAATCTTCCAATTATGTTAAACTGCAAAGAAGAAAAATGTATCTGCCTGAAGTCCCCTTTTCACTGAAATCAATCTCAAGAGTCTTCTCTGGGGCTCCCCCAGGATGGAACTAGCAAATAGTGAGCAGAGAACAGACCTTTTCTAAATGGCCCTGCAATCAGGGAAGGCTTGCCCAAAGAAGCTGCTTGCTGGCCACTTTTTTTTGGTAATTTTGTTGCTAGGCAACTCCCTTATATTTCCAACCATTCAACTAAAAGGCTTCATCTAACACTGGATTTTTGCTGCTGTCCTTTTGTAGCTTCACTTTTAACCAATTCATTTTTACGTTATTATTGTTTAATCTTATTGTATGTGTGTGTGTAGATAGATTGTGTGTATAGATAAATAGGTAGACAGACAGACAGACAGATAGATAGTGGGGGAAGATGGAATATAAATCTGTAAATAGATACTAAGCAAGTGCTCACTATTAAAGTGTAAATTAAAAATGGCATTCTCTTCAGAGGATTTTCCCAGTTAAATGCTCCCTCCCAGAACACCTCAAACCTACTACTTTTTCTTCTGCTCCTTCTGGCTCTTCTACCCACTGATCAGAGCATCCTCCCGTATGAATGAAGCACTGCCCTGTAGGTTTGCTACCTGGAAGTAAACCATCCAGTATGGGATCAGGGTGAGCAGAACTGGCAGGATCTTTGCCATCACTTGGAGGTTGGAGGCGTATTCATGTGAAGACCCCGTGGGCTGGTTCCTTCCCCTGAAAGGGGATCAGGCCCTTCCGCTTCCAAGAGGGGATTGCTTGCCCTGTAGAGAAAAAGGAGAAGAAAGATGTTTGGATCTAAAACAGCTTTTCCTAAAAAGGAGCACCCCCAGATGGGTCAGACTACATCTCCCATAATCCATAGCCAGCTGGAAGCTGTTTTCCGACTACTGGAGGGCACCAGACTGGGAAGAACTGTTCTCAGACATGATCAGAACCACATTCTGGGGTTCATAGGTAGCAAACTAGTTTCTTCAAAATGGCAGTTTCACTTCCTGTTAATTTATACACATTACAGCTTTTACTTCAACTGCAACCTTCTGTAATCCTGCTCAATGGTATCCAGCTTTTTCTCACCAAGATTGCAGGACCCATCAGTCTGGTGACTGAGAATGCGTAAACAGTTGCCTGTAGGACCTCGGCAACAATGTGTAGAGAGTAAGGAAGATGAACTTGATGGAGATAGGTAGAATCTACTGCACTGCCTAGGCAAAAGGGGCTGAAATCTTTTTCACTCTAGAATAATGAGATAATATTTGGAAATGCTCAGGCAGACACCTCCCTAATCCACTGAATTATAAAAAGGAGGAGGAGAAGATACAGCACAATCAGACCCGCAAGATTCTGTTCTTATGGCCAATCTCCATAAAAGTAGTTTTAGCCTTCTTGTGGAGCTGATTTCCTGGTCTGGTTTACCCAGTGGGGCTAGCACAGTGATAATGAATTGGACTCGCACTGGGAAGACTCAGATTCAAGTCCACCCCTAGCCATGGAAGCACACTGAATGACTTTGGGCCTGAGCCCAATCTACCCCACCGGGTTGTTGTTGTGGGGAAAAACGGGAGAAGGAAGCACTACGTACATTGTCAGGGACTCCTGAAGGAAAAGCTGGAACTAAATCTAAGAAATAAGTGCTCAAGTGAAGTAAGGAATTCTCTTCCTGCTGTTCATGCTGCCAGAGAAACCTTGTGGGGAAGGGACATTGCTCAGTGGTTCCGCTCATGATTCAAACGCAAAAGGTCCCAAGTTTCATCTAGCAGCTCTAGTCAGGCCTGAGAAAATCTAAAATTCTGGAAAGGTACCACCAGTTATAAACAGCAACATTTTCCTGAGATGGATGCACCACTGCTCTGACTCAGTCCTCAAACACTGAGCTACGGTATGAGGTTTAACCGGTTTGTTGAATAAACCACAATTTGCCTGGAACACACAGAATGCGAAGCCTTGAGTGTGCTGCCAAATTGTGACCAGCCAAAACAATCTCTCACCTCCCCACCCCACCATATTATTGCCTTCGGCCGTGCACAAGCCCTGCCAGTAGAACGCAGCTTCTTGTATACCTGGTGAGGGAGAAGACTGCACTGCTTCTTCTAATGCAATTTGAAGATTTCCTGCCCACCCCCTTATTTAATGGCTCTACTTACGCAATTTTCACTCATGAATTCCAAATAAAAATGGAAAAGCTCTCTCTCCTCCCATGGTTTAACCTTGGAGTTTCATCCATGTAAACAAATCAGAAGATGATGGGGAAGCATTATAAAACGGCAATCCCTCACTGCAGCTTGAAAACATACAGCCCATTTTACCAACTCTACCCTTG